TTTAGGGATCAGTGCTTTGTGACTAAAGGAAAACCTTCAATGGCTTAAAGGAAACAAGGATGAGTTGTCACTTCGCAAGATATTCCAAAGTAACACGCTAATCAAGGGTTCCCATGTAGCGTCTTTTTGGGTCTGTTATTGTTTTTTGTTAGGGAATATGATACACTATCAAAAAAGGATTGCTCTATCCCTTAGGGACGGAGATCGTTTTCAATGTTTGAACTCAGTGTGGCACCCAAAATCCTAGTCCGTCGTCGGACTCAACTTACTGGGGGGGAGGTCGTAAGGAATAAGGGAATATAATCAATGATCCCTACATTTTCCGTATAGGATATATTCCCTCATTCCCTATGACCCTTAAATCCTAGATCCTATTTTCCCTACATAATATATTCCCTTGTTCCTTGCTAAGCCCCGCAGTAAACCTTCAACCCATCTCGACCCTAAACCGCGAGCACACGTACGGGTAGCTCTTTGGCTCCCCTGCTCACACTGGGTGGTAAGATGTACAATCCTCCAGTCTGTTGCATAGAGTCTTTGGGTTTAGGATAGCTTAGGGTTTTAGGGCTTAGGGTCCAGAATTTGGCATTCAGAGTTTAGGGTTGAGGGTTTAGGGTAATAGAAGCGTCCTCCTGATTGACATTTGAATCGAAGGTGCCTTTCCCAGCTCCTGTCTGCATACATTTGGGCTGTTGTGCTGCTTGTAGATTTTAGGCAAACACACAAAAGGGCTTGTGCGCATTGTTATTTTGAGTGTGCTTCAGTGTCAGATAACGTAGAGCCGTAAACCCTATCCACAATGATCAAGGTGATCTCTCATAATCCTTGGATAACTATGGTACAGCATGTTCCAGAATCCTATTCTCAGAACCCCAGAGCCTAAATCCCCCTACATTAGCCCCGCTGATTGCAAGTTCATGCCCTTGGCCAAAAGCCCAGATGTCGGGTGAAGAGCACTGTCCAGGGCTTCTAGGAGTTAAACACTTGAAAGCAAGTCTGTTTATTTACCTAATGCTCAAGTAGGAACTCAAAAAGTCTCGGAACCCATGGGCTTGAGCTATGCTCAATAAACAGCCAGTTCTACTAACAATGCCCATTGCCTCGCCTAATCGCAGCCCGAAGCCTGTACGCAGCGCAGGCTTGAATACGAGCGGGGGCCGAAGTCCCATAAACCCTGAGCCTTCAGCCTACACCCCTAAACCCTTGTTCCTAGAAAACCCCTAGCCTGCTAGAATGCCTGAGCTACCCCCAGCCCTACCATGCCTACAATAAGGACCCTAACCATCAACGGACTATAATGGGGTCTTGTTTCTAGGGGTTGGGCCACCAGAATCCCGTTATTGAGAAGGGGCTCAGTGTTTAGGGTCTATAGGGTCGGGGAGGCGCGTGGAGTAGCCCTGATGCTGAAATGTTGCCACGCAAATCATGGTTGGCCTGTACAAGTTTGGGATTCAGAGTTTTACTTCAGTACTTTCATCTTCATAGATTTGTGGCTTACGGCTTGTTAGTGTCGAGGCAGTGCGCACTGCAACCTGGCACTGGGCTCACTTGGTCCCTGACCGTTAACACCTGTTACATGGAAGGTTTTCCGAGCTTGTGTGGTCCTTTCCAGGCAGTTCTAAAGTCCCATATGTTGAGTAAATCTCTGAGCTGAACCCGCATCTGCACCAGGCGCTGCGACATTCGACGAAAACAATAGCCACTTGGCTTTTGAGAAGATCTAGACGTCCCAGGTTATAAAGCCACAGTGCACTATTGAGGGTTGTGAGGATCCGTTCTTCATTTCTAGCCAACCAGAGATAAGTTGAGCTCTGTGAACTTGAAATCTAGCAGGGCCTACAACGAGTGCAGGGAAAAGTCCTGAGACTGGCGCTATGAGGCCATTGTCTGGTCAAGCCAAGATTTGTGCAGCATTGTCAGATCCCCTTTGTGATGGGGTAAGGGGTACCACGTACGAGCAAAGCCCGAAATCTGGAGATCCACCATGAACACACACACGCAGGCCGTTTCTACATGTTTGGGGGGTACACCTCGCAAGGGCTACTTGATGATCTGTGGTATTGGGACGTGGACAATACCTCCGCGATGTATAGTTATTCATCGACCTCAACATCCACAAGTTCAGGATCAGCAACATTGACATTGACTTTAACAAGCTCTTCCTCCTCCTCCTCCTCCTCCTGGACTTCAACTAGCACCTCTTCGACCGGATCAGCAACGACCACTTTCTCACCAACTTCGACCAGCACCTCCGCGTACACACTCATGTCAACCAGCACCTCCTCGACAGGATCAGCAACTACCACTTACACACCCACGTCGACGACCTCCTGGACAGGATCTTCAACTCCCACTTCTCCAGCAACTTCAACCAGCACCTCCTCGATAGGAAAAACAAGTGTTACTTCCACTTCAACCAGGACAACATCAGAAGTGGTCGTAAACGCCCCTGTTGCAAAGCTGCTAAACGACCTTGCCAGCTCCGAAGAGGAGTTTGCCAGGCAACTGATCTCTAGCCTAGCTTTGGCAAATGGCTCTTCGAACGAGACGGGCATTCTCGGCACCAGTTCGATACAGCCACTTGGATTTTCTTCCAGGCGCTGACGTAGAAGCTTGAATTATTTCTGGAGGGTGTGGCGCCCTAGGGCCTGCGGAGCTACGGTGTTGTTTAGGACCCCAATATAGACCCCAATACACTTTTGGGTTCCTCAACAAAAGTACTCCACATTTTGGGATGTACCCCCAAAACCCATTCTACTGTTCAGGCCCCTAGAAGACCAGGTCATCACCACCTATACCAGGCCCCGGCGCATTGCGAGATAGATGCACGCGTGTCATGTTCCTACTCACGGATATAGTAACAGGTGCCTCTTGGAGTCTTCTGTAGGTTCTTTCGTTCACCTCAAGCCTGACACATCTCCAGAAAGAAGTATGGGCTCTGGAAACTAGTGTCTCAGCAACTCGGCTTATGCTCTTGTTTATGCCTACAGCCATGCGTCAAGGCTTCCACCCCTTGTCTTTCATACAAGCTTGAGGTCCAACATCGGCAACACGCAGATCTTGGCCTTGCGCCCCGGCCGCAATTAGAGCTTGCGCAGCTTTGTGGTCAGGGTTGCGTCAGCGTGCCTCTGTCAAGAGAGAGAAGAGATTGATGACCAAGTGTCATGGTATCATCATGCTGTGTTTGAGCTTTTGAAACAAGCAAGAGAGAAAGCGTGAATAAGAAAGGAAATTGTAAATTGACCTTCAATGTCCCATCTTCCTTCCATTTGGACCCCCGTTACTTCTACGCATCGCCATGAGAAGGCCAGGGAGGCTGAAATCCTGAACACCGTGAAAAGGAAAGAAGAACAAATCTCTGGTGCTTAGCAGAGTGGCGGAATGGGTTATATAATATATATTTAGAGTGTCATTGGGGATTATGCAGAGGCTGCTGGGCTATCATAGGTATGCATTTCCTGAACCCTAAACTTTGGACCCTACAGCCCTCAACTAAGCAGCGGGGAGAAGGAAGCAAGGTAGAACCGTTTCGGTGGGATCCTCTGTGGATCACCAACCTGCTGTCAGGATGACAGCCTAAGGGTCCAGATGCTCAAATAAAAGGCGGTTTAGGGTATATGGTGTGGCTGTAGGTCCTTAACACAACAATCTGAATGCTCCCTGGTACCTTAGATCCTAATAATAGTATTTGGGTACCAGGACCCTTGGGAAGGACAGCGTCAAGATTAAGCAATCCAAAGGTTTTCGTTAAAGTAGACGTCCATCCGAAACCAAGTCCAGCACCGAAGCATCCTCATGGGGATTTCTAAGGGCGGCATTCCAAGCTTGCTTGCAAATGAAGTCCACAGAAAATAAGACTCCTACGACCCTAGACCATGCAAACCTTTCCAGAGGAACAGCTTTAGCCTGGAGAGCAACTTGACGGTGTTTAACGAGAACGCGAGTGTGGAGGCCAACTGGGCTTCCACAATATTAGAACGGATTAGGGGGATTGGGGTTTAGATTTTATGGGCCTTATCGTCCAAGCCTAAACCCATTTACGGGAGTTGTTCCGGGGTTTCCGGTCAGGGTTGGAGGTCTAGGGTTGTAGGGACCCGTCCTGATGTGAGGCTTGTTTGCTATTAAGCAGTCCTTTTTTATCTCCTTCCCCAGTTGCAAGTTTTTGGAGTGAAATGGCACCTCCAGCATGTTTCATACTGGCGTATTTTCCTCAAAGAGGTTTAGCTGCCCTTATGATGCTTGTCGGCACATGCATTTTCAGCACGCTCTGTAGCCGATTGACAGGATAATACTCCCATCTGGGATGCGACGAAGTTTAATGTTGCGATCAGGTCTAAAATGGCATCCGTAATTCATTCCCAAGAAATTACCACACCCTGCAGCCATGCGATTTGCAGGTGCCGGTGGATGTCATTGCCCAGGTCGCGCTTTTGCTCTCGTAATGTTGAAGGATTAGGCAAGAACAATGTGTCTGCTTGTCTGCTAAAAATCGAGCTTCGCATCCTCGAACTTTGTTTTAGTGTTGTTTGGCGGGGCCCCAAGAAGGCACCATTCATTTTCAGAACAGTCCAGTTCGAAGTACACTTCCATCAAATTTTAAATGCTCCCTGCATCGTCTCCACGTATCAGTTTCCGCCAGAAAGAGGAGACATATGTCCATACCTTTACGTGGCCTGCATATAGCGTTATGAAGAGTTCAGGTTGCTACAAATTAACGCCCGGTCGCTATGCGCTATGTACCATTTAGACGAGGATGACGCTAAGCTGGTGCATAGTAATTACCTAACTCCAGGGTCGTTCCAAAAAAGGCCGCGGCGGCTTCTGCGAGCCCTGACGGGCTGGTACTCCTCAGCGTCTCGGTCGGGTCCACCGAGTTGTCCGAGCAGCTGAGCAACGCAGACGGTACGGAGGGCATGCCTAGACAGGGCGCAGAGGGGCGCCGACTGGTCTCCCGACCCGTCAGCATCAACTTTCGTGGGTCCGATGGCCGGAAGATCCCCATGGCTTCGTTGGCAAGGCAGTCCAGTCAACAAAAAAATGTTTTTTTGATGCAATGGTCCCTGCATCATCCCGAAGGCCTATCGACATCCGCTTGCCTGCCACGAGTGCGGGCGCCTTCTGCGCTTTTTGGGATGAGGAAGAAGGCACCTGGTCAACGAGGGGCCTCGTCTTGCTTTCCATTGAGGACGGGATCAATGGCCCAGAGCTCCTATGCCAAACGACTCACCTGACTCTCTTCGGGGCCTTGCTGGACACACTGGTCAAAGTGGTACGGTGTTCCACGGCCTCAGAGGTCTTTTCCGCCAAAGGTTTCGAGAATCTTGGCAAGGGCAACTGGCTATCCTACACGTACGTGCCCTGCATCGTAAGCTGCAGCGCCACTTCGGTAGCAGAGATCCTGTGCGCCTGCCTGCATGCGAATGACATATAGCCCCCTATCAAAATCTGAACACGCTCATAGATCACAAATGCGAGAACCATTCAGTGAGCACCTCTCTGCACAGACCCCTGATTCAGTGTCGCTTGCATTCATTCGTCATTCACTGTCAGCCAAGGCTTTGTTCCTGTTCCTCCTGTTGCTCTTGTACGCCATTCGCCTGGATACCCGGATGTCTTTGTCAAGGTGCGCAGCCAGCCTGAAACCCTTCAGTGACCGCGGTTGCGATGCTCATGCTCGAGCCTTCACTGGGTTGATGTTAAGGGATTGAAAAAGAAGCTACCCATAATTGGGTATATAGTACATAATAAGGTTTCCTTAATACAGTAACTGTATGAAAGTGCCCTAGCAGCAACCCAGCACATGGGCATTAAGGCCTTCAATGGTATCCGGACTTTGGTTGAGGAGACACACGAAAGTTCAGGTCTTGTCCTTCATGAGTAATGCCCATACATTGTTTGCGTTCATAGGTAAATGAGAATGGGATGGTGCTACGAAGTGCTAGTAGCCCAGGGGCCCTATTTCTAGACATGAGTCCTACATTGGCCCCTACAATCTACAAATCTGGCTTATTTTGGTCTACACGTCTGAACTATTCTCCCGAAGGCGACTAACCTGAAACCCTAAACCCTATACCTTGGGCTATTTGGAGCCTTAGGGTCACAGGGATTTAGGCGCGCAGCAGTACAGGTTGGAAGTCGAGTCTGCTCTTCTGGTCGAGTCTCACAATGAGGACCGCTCAGATATAGCAACATCTTACTGGTGCTCATGCTCAGGGGTATGTAGCGGGCCGTATGGAGACAAACTTTTTTTGGAGCAACAGACAAACCCTAAACCCTAAACCAGTACCTAAACCCAAAAGTATGTAAAATAATAGCCCTAAACCCATACTGATAGCCATAAAGGCCATTATGTTGCATACTTTTGGGGTCCAGGTTAGGCTGTTTGACTCCGGATGCAAGCCGCATCCTTGCTTCTGGGAAGTAGTCAGGGTCTATAAGGACGCTGGACAGCAGGCACAAATGGCGCCGGATGAGTCGGACGTGCCTGAAGTGATTCGCCAGAATTAGGGGTTCAGGGTTTAGGGTGTAGGGGTTTGTTTCTTGCCAGCTGAGACGATCAGCTGGTAAGTTGCTCTAGTTACTGATTATTGCGAGCCAGATGGCAAGGAAAATGGAACTTCAATTAACACTAGTTTACATAGGGACGCTTGCCAATATTGTAGTCCCAGATTTATAGAGTTATGATATAGGCTACCTCAAAAACACCGCAAGATGATATTGGCAACTATTTTTGGGCCTCTACGAGGCGGCTTACTGGGCTTGAGTGACCTCTTCTTTCCCGAGTCGCAGTTGGGAGTTTCCAAAAATTGGGGGGGGGTCCTTTTCCCCTGTTTTGGGAAACTATCGGATCAGGTACGACACCCGGGCGTCTGCCGACGCGCACCTTGACATGCAGAGACCATGAGAGAACACATTGACCGGAACCCTGAGCTTCTGGCTGGAAGGCTGTTGTCAGTCCTACATAGGGTCCCTTTACACACATAAAAAAGGGCTACATAGGGTCCTGGAGGGGGGGTATAAAGCCTCCTCGGTAAGCCTAGCTGCCCCGTTGTACATTGTGCTTCATGGATTGGCAAATGGTCATGTTCCCCTTCTACCGAACCTAGGTTCCCCTTTTATTAACTTTAATCCTCTCCCAATTTCCCCTCCTTCAGGTGGATTCGGAAACAGGCTCCGTCAAAAAGGATAAAGGTCTATATAAGGTCTCTTTTCAGTTTCCATGTTTCTTTGGGAGCAGAGGGCAGGGGAACCCGCGAAAGGATGGGTCTGGATTAGCCTTATGAGGGCGGAAGGAACTTGCAGAATAAGTCACGTATATGCGTGTGTATATATATGTGTATGCTTATTATTCTTTAGCAAACATGTATGTAGCTCAAAGCGATATATCCCACAACCCTATCCTTATGGAAGAGACCTATACAGTACCCTTATCCGCAGTTTCTGGATCATCGGTTCCTTCCGTTCTTGTGGGTCCCGAAACCGGGGACTTTGAGAAGCTGCTGAATGAGCAGGCTGTCAACAAGACTCGAAGAATTCGGAGTGAGCACGGGGGTCGCGCTCAATTCAGATCCTTTGTCGACATCATCGGACATGCTGTGTAACACTGGCAAACGCGACCGGCAATTGCCACGAGATGTCAGTTCGCGAAGTCTTTATGCGCTCCCCTAATTACGTTGAATTGGGCAGCAAAGTGGGGCCCAAGGAAGTTTGTCCAGTATGCGGCAAGTGGTTTGTTAAGAGCACAGTGGCGCCAGCGAACAATGTCAATTTCCATCACACATCTGAAACCGTGCGAGAGCCTCATTGAACAACGAGCAGCACGACACCTGTGCAGATTAAATTTGTTACGTGGGCGTTTCCAGAAATCGTAGACCCAATTCGATTTCCCCTGTGCTATAATCCGAGCTATGTATAGGGACCCTCAAATGGGGACCCTTAATTCGTCTTAAGTATCTCCATATTATAGGGATCCCCAACATGGGACCCCCAATTCCTCTTAATGTGGCACCCTTTTTAATAATGGGGCCCCCCCCCC